ACACATTTAAATGCCCTAAAATGTAAATACGTAATCTTCTTCAGCAGTGGTTCCCAACCTTCCCACTAAAAGGGGATGACACATTTAAATGCTAAATGATGGTAAACCCTAAAATGTAAATAAGTAATCTTCTGGAGCACCAGATTTTCCTAACACAGCAGTTCACAAAAGCACTACAAGAGCAGTGATGGACAACCTCGTTTCTGGGAGATGCAGTCCAAGAACACTCGGGTGACCCAAGGTTGGGGACCACTGTTCTAGAGCACCAGATTTTCCTAACACAGCAGTTTACAAAAGCACTACAAGAGCAGGGATGGACAACCTTCAACAGTCCAGGGTCTAAACCAGACTTCCCAGTGTAACACATAACCTGCAGGTGCCCACCAGGCGCCCCCTTCATTAAAGACATTTGCTCAAAAAAGTTCCCTTGTATGCTTTGACAGGATGGGGGCAATTTTGCCATGCTTGAGGATTTGACTGAGTTGTTTTAGGCTGCTCACCCACCCAAAACGGCTTCTAGGAGAACAGGTGAACTTGCAGCCCTTTTGATACTGATAAATGCTACTTCCTTCTTACCAGACCACAGGCCAACCTGCCTAGGGCAGATGGCATCCAGAGTTCAATGTCTGAAAAACCATAGGTTTCCCAGCCCTGGCTCATGACTAATTTGAATTCAACATACACATTCTATTACACTTAATAGAGTTAAAGTTTGTCCTGCTGAATTCAGTGGAATTGAACTGGTGTGCAAGTATTCCTTATTACAATAATTAATTGTATAATTAATCTCCCATTATTCAAGTCCTTAGAGCCCAAGGAAGGCAGAAGGTGCGTATGCAGGTGGGAAGATGGAATCATTTAATTTGTAATACCTTACCACCTTGAATGAGTGCAGATCTCCAAGGCCGGATGAACTGCATCCGGGAGTACTGAAAGAACTGGCTGAAGAACTCTCAGAACCGCTATCCATTATTTTCTTGAAATCATGGGAAACAGGTGAGATGCCAGAGCATTGGAGGAGGGCTAATATTGTCCCTATCTTCAAAAAGAGCAAAAAAGAGGAACCTGGGAACTACAGGCCAGTCAGCCTGACATCAGTCCCAGGCAAAATTCTGGAACAGATCGTAAAGTGGTCATTGTTCAAGCACCTAGAAAAGAATGCAGTAATAACAAGAAACCAACACAAATTTGTCAAGAACAAATCCTGCCAAACTAATTTGATCTCATTTTTTGATCAGGTCGCCTCCATGATAGACAGAGGGAATGCTGTAGACATAGTATATCTTGACTTCAGCAAAGTTTTTGACAAAGTGCCCCATGATATCCTGATTATCACGCTAACTAGGTGTGGACTGTATAGATCAAATTTTAGGTGGATACACATTGGCTACAGTACTGTACTCAGAGGGTGAGATTAATGGGTCCTTCTCTAACTGGGAGGAAGTAACAAGTGGAGTACCCCAAGGCTCAGTCCTGGGCCCGGTGCTCTTCAATATTTTTTATTAATGACCAGGATGAAGGAGTGCAGGGAATGCTTCTCAAATCTGCAGATGATACAAAATTGGGTGGAATAGCTAATACACTAGAAGACAGAAACAAAAGACAGACCTTGATAGGATGGAGCACTGGGCCGAAAGCAACAGAATGAAATTCAACAGGGATGTGCAAAGTACTGCACCTCAGAAAAAGAAACCAATTGCACAATTACAAGATGGAGGATACCTGGCTCAGCAAAACAATGAGTGAGAAGGATCATGGAATTGTTGTAGATCACAAACTAAATATGAGCCAACAGTGTGATGTGGCTACAAAAAAGGCAAATGCTCTTTTAGGCTGCATTAATAGAAGTATAGTTTCCAAATCCCATGAGATGCTAGTCCCCATCTATTCCATTAGGCCTCACCTTGAGTACTGTGTCAGTTCTGGACAACACACTTCAAAAAGGATGCTAAGAAATTGGAACAAGTTCAGAGGAGGGCGACAAGGATAATCAAGGGGAAACCAAGCCCTATGAGGAAAGGCTGAAAGGATTATTGGGCACATTTAGCCTTGAGAAAAGAAGACTGAGAGGTGATATGATAGCACTTTTCAAATATTTGAAAGACTGTCCTACAGAGGAAGGGCAAGATTTGTTCTCGATCATCCCAGAGCGTAGGACATGCAACAATGGGCTCAAGTTAAAGGAAGCCAGATTTCAGTTGAATATCAGGAAAAACATCCTATCTGTTAGAGCAGTACGACAGTGGAACCAGTTACCTCAGGAGTTGGTGAGTGCTCCAACAGTGGAGGCATACAGGCCAGATGGGTGGGGTATAAATTAATTAATGGAAGAAGAAAGCCCCCCTTTTGCCTCATATTAAGAAAAATTGAAAAATAGAAATGACCATCCAGTCGCTTGCTGTTTTGTCAAGCGGAGGCAAGTATAGTTGGTCCAGTCCAAGGAAATGGGAGGGTGCCTGGACCTTCCAAAGTTGCCAACCCTTAAACTACACCAAAGGCTATTACAAATGTTGCACAAGTAAACACCAAGGCTAGATTACCCAGTGTAGTTTGATGAACAGACTAGGACTCAGGACACTTCTGAGTCCCAGCTTGACCATAGAAACACATGGAGGAGAAGAGGTGGAACTGATAAAACCACTTGCTTACCTTGAAAGCCCTGTTAAGGTCATTAAAAGCTGGCTCTGACATGAGGGCCCATAACAACAAAAACATCAAGGCCACTTGGTAAACAAAAACCTCAATTCAAAGTGGGAGGATCCTATTTCATATCCCATCATTTCCAGTTCTTCCCCTGAAATCTGGAAGAATAGAGGTATACATACATCTGTTTTTTTCAAATAAAATAAACTAAAATCTATGTTGTGCCTACCCTGCGTGGAACACAGAAAGTTGAATTATCCTAAGTTAGGTCCCACAGTACTCAATTAGGTGGCAAACTTCTGCAGATTTCATTTAGAAGTAAATCCTTCTAAAATCAGCAAGGTTTTTATATAAATATGAATATATTCATGAACTGAAGATCCAGCAGGCTCTTTAAACATCTTTCAACCCTGGAGCAATGATGAGTTTTAGGTTATGATTTACATACTCCATTCGGAATCAAAGGATAGCTACATCCTCAAGAAGAAGAGCAAGGGCTCACAGAAATGCAAGTGTTAAACTTGCTCTTCAGAACCACTGAGATTAAACACAACAAGAAAAGCATCTCACATGTATTGCAGGGGACCCTCCAACAAAGGAGCACAAAAATAAAAATCCCAGGACCTATTTCAAAAGCAGAGCTAAATTCCCAGATATGTGAAGTTATAACGATACAGTTCCTTTCAGAGTGATCCATGTGCCTTCCCCATAAGATTGGAGTCCCTACAACCGGTTCACAATATATATGGATCTGTAAGCAGAGCTAAGAAAAGTTACTTTTTTCCTACTCCAGCTTTTAGAAACTTCTGGACAGAATGGCAATGCAAGCACAAAGTTTTGGAAGAGTGACATTATCAAGGTGACTAAGGAATTGTTACCTCAAACTTATACTGTATGAACATTTTCTAAAACATTAGAGCTTTTTTGTCCGCTTCCCATCTGAGATTTGTCCTGGTTGAGCACAAAATACACAAGAGGAGCATTACACAATCCTAGCACCCATCAATAGATTGTAAGTCTATTATTGCTTAAGGTAATAACACGCAGCAAAAAGAGGCTCACGGTTGTCCTTTATTGACAAATGTCATTTTAAAAACTTTTTAAAAATTAAGTTTTAATATAACAAATTGAAAAATAAAATAAAGCACATAACTGATGCTGTCAGCATTAGAAACATTCCCAAAAAATGATCTACAAATGTTCTGAATACAAAGTAACATTTAGCATCACTACTTCACATGGCCTTGAAATGGGAACTGCAAGCCCATAACTGAAAGGTCATCTGGTCAGATGGGCGCCTTTGTCTCAATTGCTTTGTGGCCTCCATAGAAAAAGACCTTTCTGTAACTTAATAACTAAGGCATCCCTCTCTAGAAAGTCAGAGTAGCTATCCCAGTGATTCTCCTTGCCAAAAAGATACCAATGTCACTTTTTTGCCCCCCCCCCATTAAGCAGGCAAATTAAACCACCAACTAGAACTTGAAAAATTTACGGTCTTGCACCTACACTCCAGTATCCCCCAACCAGCACATTCAATAGGTATTCTGGGTGGCGTATTCAGGGAGCTGCAGTCCAAAAAAGGCTAGAGAAGAACAAAAATAGAAGGAAATGGCGTTAGGACTGGGTTCAGGTAGCTAACAGGGATAGGAGGTATGGATTGGTGAGAAGAACAAGGCATGCTTCATTTGGAAAATATGAGCAAACAGATTTTATTCAGTGAATTATATGTTTTCATCATGTGCACAATTGTGCTGAAGGCTACCAAACATGTAAGTATGGTTGTCAAGGGGAGTGTGGGAAAGTAAGACCCAGGTTGTTTGGTTTAAAAAAATATATTTTTTCAGTTTTTACAAATTCTCCAAAATTAGCATGGACTGAAACCATCCCCGCTATTAGTCCGACAAGAAACATAAATCTAAGGAGCATCAAGAACAAAGAGAAACTCAAAGATAAGTGAGCTCAAAAAAAGGGATGACTCTTATAGTAGCAACTTTTTGCACTGCAATTCCCAGAATCTCCTGCCAGCAGAGCCAGTGACTTTTCTGGCTGGGAGATTCGGGGAGCTGTAATCCAAACACAAGTTTTCTAAACTCTCTTCTTCATCTACTGTGAGGTTCATGCTCTGCGTCCAGCAAAATCTGCTGTTCATTTTCTAATCATAAATTACTTCTTATCTATCAGAATGAACAAAATAATGACACTTTAAACCAAACCAGTTTGTGCAAACAGAAAGTGCTCCTAAATTAATCAAAACTCTACCTCGAGGCAGTTCAGCTCAACCTACAACACAAATCCTATGTTGAATGCAAACCCTGTACACCTTAATCAGTGAAAAGCACTTTTCTCATGTACCATACCTGCCCCAAATCTTGACAATGATCTAGGCTCTTCTGACATCAGCTTCGTCCTGAAACACAGGAAAAAATAATGTGTGGTTTAGAAGTTCCCATATTACACACTAAATCTTAGACATAATTAGCCATTGAACAAGTTCCCATAATAATCTAACCATTCTGACTTAATGTTACTATTAATTCCTTAGCTATATACAAAATAAAAACCATTACAGATTATATATCAAAAGTGATACAACTGCAAAATAAAGCACTCCCCTTTGATTAAAATAAGCCAAGCCCTTTCAGCTTTTACGCTTTTGTGTTGTGCCCAACACAAAACCAAAAGATAATTCTTAAGTTTCTTTTTTCATCATTCTGATTAAACAGTGCATTTTCTTGCTTCATTTTTATTACACTAGACATTTAACAGATCCACAGTGGACTTCCCCTCCCACAGAGACAGCTTGGGCATCCAAATTACAGACACAAGCAATTAAGTTAGAATGAGCTGAACAGAGGCGATCCTTTTCCCTTCTCTCCAGAAAGTCATCAGCTGAAGACAAGGAGGGGTACATACTTTGAAACATTACATTTTGAACTGTGTCAGAAAAAAAAATGAACAACACCATCAACTCAGCTCTGTATCCCATATAAGAGCAGTAGAAAGGTAGGAAGAAAAAGAGACAGAGACAGAGAGAGACTAACCAAAAAGATTCAGCCCAGTCAACAACATCCACTCATCTAAACTAAAGGATGATGCCCTGGAACAGCTTGTCCATGCAGGAAAATGGCAGATGAGGCTGGCTTCCACATCCTCAAAGAGTTAAACCACTTGCAGTTTCAAGTTTACTCCTGCTGCTTGCCCTCTTCTCACAATCATTTCAACTCTCCAAAAATGAAAGAGGAGGAAATAACTGGCCAACGTCACAGCCAAACGTTCCTCCCCAGCTAATCAGAGAGCAGGAGGGGAGGGCCACCTATCACTTCACATTTCTTCCACGCTAACAACGGAGTTTGTATGTGCATGTTCCAACATGTGCAACGCACGTCACGTTCTCCTGTTTTTATGCAGTTCCTTTCTTGTCATCCTGACCAGCTCAAAGACATAACCTAGGGCAACTTATAGTTAAGGCATAGGAGCCACCCAATTTAGGATTAGGCCTAGAAGGCAGTAATTTGTAAAGCTTTGCTTCTTTCTTGCGCCTGGCACAAGAGTGCATAAAATGTTGTTGATCTGGGCCAAAGGAAAGCCCTAGAGAATTGTCTCTTTCCAGCTGGCATAATCAGCAAATCACACACAACTTACAAAACCCCACTCTTTCCTCCCCTCCTTCCAACTCTCCAGCCTTAAAAGTCTAAGCATCATGTTACAAATCCTTTCATGCTACAAACACCAAGCAGAGACCAAGGCATTACGTAGTACCCAGTGAACTACTCACTGAGCAGCTGCTGTCGGCTGGAATCTACCACTGGCTGCTATGCAAGCAAAACCACAAGAGCTCAAGAACAGTGTTGTGAGCCTTGAAAACCTAGCATATATTTGTCAATACATTTTGCATCAATACAAATTGCAATGTTAACCATTTCTATCTTGCAAAGTTTTGGATATAAGACCAGATTTAGAAGAGATGAAAGGAATCAGTTTATCACACTACTGACTCCTCTTCCAAAATACCTAGGCAAAAGAAATATCATCCAAAACATAAGATTTTTTTCAAGTTCTTTGACTCTTGCTATCAGATTTACATTGGGAAAATAAGGTTCTTCCCCCAAAAAAGGGTGAAAGTAAATATATTCTATGTCCCTCACATTTAAGAAGCATGCCTGCTAACTGATAAATTCCTCCATCCTACTATAAGGCTGCAGATCTATATAGACTTTGTTGTTATTTAGTCCTTACGTTGTGCTAACTCTTCATGACCACATGGACCAGAGCATGCCAGGCCCTCCTGTCTTCCGCTGCCTCCCAGAGTTATGTCAAATTCATGTTGGTTGCTTCAATGACACTGTCCAACCATCTCGTCCTCTGTCGTCCCCTTCTCCTCTTGCCTTCACACTGTCCCAACATCAGGATCTTTTCCAAGGAGTCTTCTCTCCTCATGAGATGGCCAAAGTACTGAAGCCTCAGCTTCAGGATCTGTCCTTCCAGTGAGCACTCAGGGTTGATTTCCTTCAGAATGGATAGGTTTGTTCTTCTTGCAATCCAGGGGACTCTCAAGAGCCTCCTCCAGCACCACAATTCAAAAGCATCAATTCTTCGGCAGTCCACCTTCTTTATGGTGCAGCTCTCACTTCCATACATCACAACAGGAAAAACTATAGCTTTGAATATGCAGACCTTTATCGGCAAGGTGATGTCTCCACTTTATAAGATGCTATCTAGGTTTGTCATTGCTTTCCTCCCAGGAAGCAGGCGTCTTTTAATTTTGTGGCTGCTGTCCCCATCTGCAGTGATCATGGAGCCCAAGAAGGTAAAATCTGTCACTGCCTCCATATCTTCCCCTTCTATTTGCCAGGACCAGTGGCCATGATCTTAGTTTTTTAATGCTGAGCTTCAGACTGTTTTTTGCACTCTCCTCTTTCACCCTCATTAAGACTTTCTTTTGTTCCTCCTCGTTTTCTGCCATCAGAGTGGTATCATCTGCATATCTGAGGTTGCTGATATTTCTTCCGGCAATCTTAATTACGGTTTGGGATTCCTCCAGTCCAGC